GATTGAAAGGATTTTTTGTAAATTTAGTGAGAAACTAAGCACAAAATTTAGTACTGTAGAAAGAAAGATGTGCACATATTGGTGGGCATATGCACATTAATATATGAATGAACATAAGAAGATCTCTGCTAGATTATTTCAAAGTCCAAAATAACCAGCTAGATGCTTCTGACCTCTTCTATTATAACTTCTTAGCATCCCTGAATCTCTACAGCACTCCTGAACCTGGAAATTTTATGCACCCATAAAATAGTCTCTCTGCTTCATGGCTTTGTATAAAATCCTCCATTTTAAATCCACTATAGTCAATAATCAGTTACATATTTGAACATTTTGTTTTCAGACAAGTGAGTTATTGCACTATCCCATGGTTTATTTGTGATTAGTTGAATAGACCATAACTGGCTAGGGTCACACAAAGAGCTAAGAAAAAAAACAAATAGACAGCTTTAGAGATTAGTGTAAAGTGCAAATTTCAACTACTACTTTTGGCACAGGAATGAAAGAGGTCTTTCAGTCCAAACTTCTGCATGGGCAAAAATCCTCAGGTCTCCCAGAAAAATGGCCGTCCAATCTTTGTTTGAAAATCTCCAATGATGAAATATCCACAGTTCTAGGAGGCAGATTATTCCACTACTTAATAGCTTTCGTGAACAGGAAAATATTTTTATGTTTTGAGTTTGGATCTCTTTGTAAATTTTAAACCCATTGTTCTTTTCCTATCCTCATGAACTATGGAAAATAAATCCACACTCTCTTCTCTGTGACAGTCCCTCAAGTATTAGAAAAGTACTATTTTGTTTTCCCTTAGTCTTCTTATTTAGGTGAAATATACTAAATTCTTTTAGTCATCTTTCATAAATTTAGAGTCCAAGCTCGTCAACATTTTTGTTGCTCTTCTTTGTATTTTTTCCAATTTCTCAGCATCCTTCTTGTATTATGGCAATAAAGCTGGATAAAGTATTCTAAAAGCAGTCTTACCAGTACAGTGCTAAGCAGAAAAATTATACCTCTGCCGATGTAGATCAGGACTGCATTATTTCTCTCTTGATAGCTGCAGAATGTTACTAACACATGCTTAATCTGTGGTTTACATGGATATTCAGATCCTTTTTACGAATACTGCAGGTGAGCTATCTAAGTGTACAAAATCTACATTTCTTGACATTTTTTTAAAAAATGGAATAATGTTAGCATATCATCAATCTTTTTGACACTTCCCATGTACATAAAAGTATTCACTAAGATTACAAGTAATGGTTCTGAGATCTGCTATTTTTGTTATGTGGCCCACTTTTCATGTTTTAAACTTAATTTTAGAATAGAATAGAGCTGGAAGGGACCTTGCTCAAACCGGAGAACCTATACCATTTCAGACAAGTGACTGTCTAATCTCTTCTTTAAAACCTCCAGTGATGGAGCGCCTACGATTTCTGGAAGCAAGCTGTTCCACTGGTTAACTGTCTTCACTGTTAGGAAGTTTCTCCTTAATTCTAGATTGCTTCTCTCTTTGATCAGTTTCCAACCATTGTTTCTTGTCCTGCCTTCTGGTGCTTTGGAGAATAATTTGACTCCCTCTTCTTTGTGGCAGCACCTCAGATACTGGAATATGTTATCATGTCACCCCTATTTCTTCTTTTCTTTAGACTAGCCAAGCCCAAGCCCTGCAGCTGTTCTTCATATGTTTTAGTCTCAGGCCTTGGATCATCTTAGTTGTTCTTCTCTGAATTTTTTTCCAAACTCTCAACATCTTTTTGTGATATGGTGACCAAAATTAGCTGCAGTATTCCAGGTGTGGTTTCACTAGGGTTTTATAAAGAGGTACTAATACTGCTTACTTCTCTCCATGTGGATGTAGTACCATTGAGAACTACTTTTTTGTTTCTTAGTTTGTCAGAGAATTCTCTTTGCAGCCATACCAGTTTCATCATCTATCTGCCATTTTTATTTCCATTTAATATTGTGTCTTGGGGTCTTAATTATCTAATTTTTCAGAATTTCTCAATCCTTTTGAACTTTTCTTCCCTTCAGGTTTTCTCACCATGGAATCATTCCTACATTTTCCCTTATACAGGTAATCCCCGAGTTATGAATATTGCAGCACCACAGCAGTCGTTTGCCCTTATGAGTGACCGCAGTGGCTCTACAACATTCACCCTGGTTAGTCCCTCCCTCCCCACCCCTGCCCCGGGTCTCCCTAGGCACCAGGCCTTCAATACTCACCCTGCAAAGATCAAGATCCTTCCCTTTCTTGGCTGCTCTAGGCCTTCGGTGCATTCGCAGAGAATGGAGGCCTAAAGTAACGCAAGATCATGTGAGATCAGTGGGGCGAGATCTCACATACTGATCTCTTGTGATCTCATGGTACTTTAGGCCTCTGTTCTTTGCAACAGAGAATGGAACTGAAGCTGGGGGACGCTTCCCTGTACCTCTGGAGGCTGGATCGGAGCTCCGGACATCTTTTCCAGGCTGCTGCAGTCCTGATTTGAGGCCAGCGAATGCTTCCGCACAACCCACGTGGCTTGATCCAGGCTCTGGAGGCCTTTTCCAGGCCACTGTGGCCCAGATTTGAGGCTGGTGAACACTTCCGCGCACCCCACATGGCCCAATCCGGCCTCCAGAGGCCTTTTCCAGGCTGCTGTTGCCCGCATTTGAGGCCAGAGAACACTTCCACAGCCTCCCCATGGCTTGATCGGTCCTAGAAAAGGCTTCCAGAAGTCGGATTGGGTTGTGTAGGGTGCGCGGAAGCGTTCCCCAGCCTCAAATCCAGGTGGCAGCGGTCTGGAAAATGCCTCCAGAGCCCAGATCAGGCTACGGGGTGTGTGTGTGTGTGTGTGTGTGTGTGTCACGGAAGCATTCCCTGGCCTCAAATCCAGGTGGCATCAGGAACCACAACAGAGAGGAGATGGATCTTTTCCTGGTGAGTCTGGCGCAGGAGGGAGGGGGAAGCATGCAGTAGCTTAGTGGGTCGGGGAGGCTTTGAGGGCCTGTTCCAGCACTAGGCCCTCCATGGCCTTCCCCACCCTGAGATACCCTCATGTTTGCTTAACAAGCCTGAGATACCCTCATGTTTGCTTAACAAGCCATGTACGTTTTAACGAGCAAGGGAGCGATCTCATACCTTGAATGAGATTCACTCTACGAGTGGATGGGCAGGCTCCAGTGGTGGGATTCAAATATGTGAACAACTGGTTCTCTGTATGGATGCTGCTTCCAAAAATGCATTCTGGACTTGGGCAACAAAAAATTAGCTACTGGTTCTGCTGAAGTGGTGTGAACCAGCTGAATCCCACCACTGGAAGGCTCCACTACATTTGTAACTCAAGGACTACCTGTAGTTTATTAAAATAGATTCTCTTGATATTTAGAATATATCTAAACTCTACTTTCAGTTTTTCTTATCTGCAACGTTGTGAATTTTAGGATCAAATGAATGTTCTCTACCAAGGTTTTTACAATTTTCACTTTCTTAACCATTCCTTCCGTTACTAAGTCTAGTATAGCTAACCCTCTTTAACCTTCCTCACCTTTTAAGACAATGGTGTTGAAAGAAAAATATTCATCAGGGTCCAGTCCAAGCCAGGAATAAACAACATGGAGACTGCTTTAGAAAGAAGGTTGTAGTTTATTGAAGAGGAGAGCCAGACAGAAAGATGGCTCTGGAAAAAACAACTGACTACATGTAGTACGGAGTGGATTTTTATACCTTCTTGGGCTTTTGTTTGGAGTTGTTCCTGTGGCATGAATTTTGACCTGAGTCTGAATGTGCTGGTATTCTGATGGTGGTGGGTTAATCTTATTATGTCCCAAAGGTCATATCTTGCTTTCCTGTGGCTGCGGCTGATTGTTGGATTTTTTGGTGTGAGGGATTTTTGATTCTAGGGATCTTTCTTTCTAATCCCAGCTTCCTGACTCCAGTCTTTCTGACAAGATTATCACATCTGCATTTCTGCAGACCTGGTTTCTGTTTGGGGCAGAGAGACTTGAGGGGTGTGTGTTCTGCCTTTAAGATCCTTTGGGGAAATATAATACTTTTGCCTTTTAATATTCCCAAAAATATTTCTTTCTTGGGGGGGGGCTGACTTCCCACAATGGAGTTGTCTACAAAGTATGTCAAGAACCTATTGGATCTCTCACTTGCTGCAAAGTTCTCAGCTGACACTGGAATAGTTGAAACTATATCACCAGTATATGTTTGCTGGATGATTTGCAAGGCTGTCATCTAATGGTAGAGGAGAGAATGGTAGAGGATATTATCTATTGGATGGGGGTCATAGAACGTACTAGATTAGGCAAAAATGGGATTGAGTTATATTGTTTTAGCAAGTAGTATGAGCCAGGGTTAAGCTCTAATATGATTGGCAGAGCATAACATGAATAGTTTTAGTAACCTAGAGTTAGCATTTTATATCTAGATATAATCCAGCCATTGTATATGGTTGCATCTTCCAAAGCTTTATTAGAGATAATGGGACTGTACAGATATTCTACTCTTTGCTCTAAATGTTGGTGATTTATTACCAGTATTATATTAGCAAGAATGTCTCTTTCCCATCTTCAAGGAATTTTAGTTTGATCCCATCACTATCTCTCAGTAGGAAAAAAAAACCTTCACGGTTTACAAAACACCCATTCAATCTGCTCCTTGCTATTTTTCTCTGTTCTGCTACTTAGAGCAAAGAGGCAGGTGCAGATAGAATGGAAAAGTATTTTCTTAGAACTAATGGTCTATTGCCACCTAGTGGTGAACAAGAAAAACTGCAGATAGCTTGAAACAGGAAGCTAGGAAATGCGGGGGGGGGGAGCATCTTTTTTACAATTTAATCAAAGGAACATTCTTCTTGAGTATGAGGATATTCTCAGCATAAAAATATTTCAGTGCAGTCTGTTTATGGTTTTACAAAGAATATATTATCAAAGAAAGATTCGATCAAGCCACATTGTGTACAATTATTATTTTTATTCAATTTAAATAGTCAAGTTCTTCTGTTTTCACCCAGATGAATCCATTCAGGGACAGGATCTGCAAGGTCTTCTCCACAGATGGCTACTTTACATTTGAGGACATTCTTGGGATGGCATCTGTCTTCAGTTACCTAGCATGTCCCACACTTAAGATTGAGTATGCTTTTCGGATTTATGGTATGTCATTCCCCATTGTAATATCCCCATAACAGTTTCAGTATATGAAAAAGCAAAAATCCCCAAGTCTGGAGGCACTTTGAGGATGAGATCAGGAATTGGAAGGCTAGGTGAGATTGGAACCATTTTATTTTTCAAAGAGGGGATAGAAACGTCTGCAGACATGGCCCAAGAAGAAACAATTGTTTGGTTCATACAATATACTAAGCCATAATATGGCTACTTTGGGTTTTACTTTAAAAAATGGAATAAAGGGGGGAAAGGATAAAAAAGATTAAAAAATCATACCACATACAAAAAATGTATTCAGCTGAATTTTCAACTTACTCATTAAAACTTGAAATGACATGAAATTGTTAGTTTTCCCACTGCAATGATATTCAATTGCACTATCAATTTATAAACAGAAAGCATATATCTATAATCCAAGATTTAAATTCTGAGTAATTTGGTATTCCCAGCATTGAATAATTTTGCAACTTCATCTGCTTTGTAGAATAGATTCCCACCAGAGAAACACATCACTTTTTTTTTCCTCCTCCAAACCTTTCTCAGGATGTTCTGGGTGGCTTCTTTCAGTTGGGGATGATCATGTTGCATTTTATTCCCTCATATGCCTGTTTTTATTCCCTCATATGCCTGGACACGGAACCACTGATTGGTTCAAAATTGGAAAAGGAGTCCGGCAAGGCTGTATACTGTCGCCCTGCCTATTTAACTTGTATGCAGAGCACATCATGAGAAAGGCAGAGCTAGATGAATCAAAAGTTGGAATTAAGATTGCCGGGAGAAATATCAACAACCTAAGATATGCAGATGATACCACTCTAATGGCAGAAAGTGAAGAGGAACTAAAGAGCCTCTTGATGCGGGTGAAGAAGGAGAGTGCAAAAGTAGGCTTGAAACTCAACATTAAGAAAACCAAAATCATGGCATCCGGCCCTCTCAATTCCTGGCAAATAGATGGGGAAGAAATGGAGGTAGTGACAGATTTTATTTTTCTGGGCTCAAAGATCACCTCAGATGGGGACTGCAGCCAAGAAATTAAAAGACGCTTGCTCCTGGGGAGGAAAGCTATGGCAAATCTAGACAGCATACTAAAAAGCAGAGACATCACCCTGCCAACAAAAGTGCGTATAGTCCAGGCCATGGTTTTCCCAGTTGCAATGTATGGCTGTGAAAGTTGGACCATAAGAAAGGCTGAGCGCCAAAGAATTGAGGCCTTTGAACTATGGTGCTGGAGAAGACTCCTGCGAGTCCCTTGGACTGCAAGGCGTTCAAACCGGTCAGTCCTAGAAGAGATCAACCCTGACTGCTCTTTAGAAGGCCAGATCCTGAAGTTGAAACTCAAATACTTTGGCCACCTAATGAGAAGGAAGGACTCACTGGAGAAGGGCCTAATGCTGGGAAAGATTGAGGGCAATAGAAGAAGGGGACGACAGAGAATGAGATGGCTGGATGGAGTCACTGAAGCAGTAGGTGTGAACTTAAATGGACTCCAGAAGATGGTAGAGGACAGGAAGACCTGGAGGAACGTTGTCCATGGGGTCGCGATGGGTCGGACACGACTTCGCAATTAACAACAACAACAACAATGCCTGTTCTAATGTATACCTGCCAAATAATACTGTTTGTTCAATATATAATGTTGTAGTCTTTTAAACTTGTCAAGCCACCAGGAATTATTTTGGAATTGGGTGGCCTGGAAATCTGATGAATAAATAAATAAATAGCCTTACCACTCTTTGGGTGGATTAATTCTAATGAATGGCTTGCTCATCCAATCATAATTAAATTGTGCACATATGATTCCTGTAATGGCACTGCCTCCCCATCACACACTCTTCCTTATATATATGTTGTGTACATGGCATGCACATGCAGCTTCAGGCCATGTTCAGATTCAGTGTGGAAGTCAATGGAAAAAAGGAGAAAAGGAATGAGATTGTCAGAATTGGGACAAATCTGGAAAAAGAGGGAGTACAACTCAATTATCAAGTGTCTATTTATACAGAGTGTCCCAAGGCCAGTTCTTGGCATATTCTGCTGCAAAACATCAAGCAGATTTAGTCATTAAACACTGCTGGACTGCATGGACTGAGATTCTGTGGCAGTTTTATGAGTAAAGATAATAGTATTATTGTTTGTGTAATTCTTAAATAATTGGCACTGGACTGCATAATAGTCTGTAAATCTTCCAAGTTCCACCCTATTTCTACTTTTCACAGTATTTTAATTTCCCAGATTTCAACAATGATGGTTTTATTGATGAGGAAGATCTCCAAAATGTCATCCGCAGATTAATAAATAAGAATAACCTCAGTGAGGAAGAAATTGTGTCTCTGGCAAACCATGTAGGTAATTCCTTTCTTTTACAACAAATCTTGAGGTTTCAGTGACTGAGGCCTTAGCATAAAATTGTTTTAGATGGTTTAAATATCCTTTCAGTAGAACCTGGGCATGAAAGGCAGAGCTCTTCTGTCTTCTAATGGCTGTCTCCAACCTAGTACCTTCCGACTGAGTTGGGAAGTCAGTGGCTCCCTGGGATGCCTGCGAGTTGTAGTCCAAGCATATTTTGAGAATGAGATTGGAAAAAGAAATCCGTTTTGGAGCACAAAAATAAAACTCTTATGTTGACTAATCTGAAACAACAGAAATACTGTTTCTATATAATACATACTTTGTGTTTGAAACAGATTTTGGAGGAAGCTGACTTGGATAATGACAGAATGCTCTCTCTAGCAGAATTTGAACGTGCTATGATAAAGTCTCCAGACTTCCTAAAGTAAGAACAATTTCCTATCATCCCATCCACAATGTACAGTAGTTGAGCTTCTTAGTTCTCACATGCTTCAAATCCAGCTCTGAAATTTCTCATTCTATAATGTTTTATGTAATTTCTCCTACAGAAAAAAAAATTCTGCCTATTTTGTACTAAGCTATATCAGATGTAACGCTACAGAAAACCTGGCCAAGGCAGCTTTGACAGATTTCTAACATAGGGAAGGGAATAGAAGAAAAATTAACACTGGAGACTACACTAAACGTCAGGCAGCAAGATGGAAAAAGCTATTGTTTAACTATTGTTTCCAATGTTCACTACAAGAAATTTATTTTTTAAAAAATAATTCCATTGGCTTTTTCTTCTGTAAATTGGATGGTACATAGCATTCAGGATGGACTATCACCCATTTTTTTTGTCCCTAAGATAAAAAATTGAGGCATTAGATTTGTTTCAAATGTTGTCCATGTTGGAATCTTCAACAAATGTGGGACTACTAAATGTCCCACTTACATTGTTCTGGATATTCAAGCTCAGCATTTTTTTAGCTCAGAAAATTTTCTACCCCTTCCCAAAACAATTATTATTACAATTAGAAGAACCTTTATCCAGGCTTCACCTGACTATGCAAAATGATTAAAAGCAATCAGAAATTTACCTTCTGACTGCGTATCAGCTTCACATCAGCATATTAATGCATTTATATGTATATGTCATTAAATCATAACTCTACTAGAGCAAGAACTAAGTTATTTTTAAGTGATGAATCCTTGGAATTCAGATTGACTCAAAAAAGTTCAAATTGTGACCTTAGGATGAATGACTTGACATTACATTTCCAACCAAAGATGTCTTTTATAATTGGGCTTCTTCAGAAATGGAGAACGAGACTGCGATTAACTACTTTCTTGAAACCATATTCTTTATTACCTCTTTATTTTCTGGAGACTTAATTGGACTTCTTTTGGCTCCACTACATTCCTGAAAACCCATAAGGTGCTTCAGAATCTGTCCCTTATTTGGTTCTCCCAGCTTGTTTTATTAGCTTATGGTTTACTTGGTACTGAATGTAGGAGTCGTGGTGGTAATTAGAGTGCAGTATTGCAGCTAACTCTGCCCAGAGTCTGGAGTTCAATCCTGACCGAGCCTTCCATCCTTCTGAGGTCAGTAAAATGTGGACCCAGATTGTTGGGGACAATATGCTGGCATTTGTAAACCAGAGAGTGCTGTAAAGCACTATGGAGTGGTACACAAGTCTGAGAGCTATTGTTATTGCTATTATGTTTAGAGAACATGAACTATTTATCTCTAATCTGATTTTGAAGCAAATAAAGGTGACTGTTTCAATTTCTTAATGATTTACTGGATAAAATGTCAGCTAAGTTGCATCCCATTGAGAATACCTTAATGGCAGGATTCATAGAATAACTGTTCAAAGTATACTCCTAAATGTATTGTACAGTAATGTGTCGAATTGACCCATACACCTGGTAATATCTTTAGTTAGACCTTAAGCTTTGATGCAGTCCACATTGTCAACACAAAGTTTAGGCATTTCCTGAAGAAAACAGAATTGTGGGGACAGGAAGCAGCATTGCTATAAAAGGTAGATCTGATTATACATAAGTTTAGTAAGGTGTCCAAGAACAAACTAAGGAAGATAGAAATAATTTAAAGACGGGAGACCTAGTCCAGAAAACTAATAAATGTTCTTTCTAGATCCTTCAAGATCTACTTCTGAGAGACAAGAATGTGACAACATGGGAAATTCAGGATCTTGCAACTGGACAGGCACAAGATAACAAACATAGCTTTAACGACTGCCATGAAAGATCAGATAGCAAATCAGTCCATGTATTTTTGCAAAGAATATGCAAATAAACAATGATTCTGAGAATGGGAAGAAAAAAGTCATGTATTCTCTTTTTTTCCATCCAGTGCAATTATAGAGAATGACATTTTCATAGCAATTATAAGCAATTTTTGTACAGGAAGAGAGGGAGGATTTGGCTGTACAATGCACTTAACTTTCTTTATAATCCTCTATCCTAAAAAGGAAATAGTTTTATTCATTACTGCTTTATTTAGAGGTTTTCTAACCAATTCATAAGCACAAAAGCTCTCAGTGTGAACACTATATCAGTTAAAAGAAGCAATATTCTCTAAACTTGAAGGCACCCATAGGCACAATAAAGTAAGCAGAGATGAAATAACAAAGACAACAGAGAAATTAGAGGTAGTCCATGGCTTATGACTATAATGGAGCCTATTACAACATTGCAATTGTAAGTTGTGATGTCATAAAACAGGTCACCTATAATCTGACCAACCAGATTTTACAATCTTTTTTCAGTGGTTGTTAAGCAAATGCTGCCACCATTAAGCAAATGCCACAGTCACTAAGAGATCCAATGGTTCATTATGAGTCAGTTTTGCTGAAAATCAGAAGTAAATGCCAGCTTTGGGCAAAAATGTCATAAAAGGCAGTCACATGATTGCATGATGTTGCAAATGTCCATAAATGTGGGCTGGTTGCTACACACCTGGCACAAATGTCATGTCACCATGGGATAGGATCCTGACTGTCAGAACTTCAGAAATAGGTCATAGGTACCGCAGGGAGTTCCATTATAACTTCAAACAATTGCTAAGCAACAAGTCCTAATTCAAGGACTACTTGTATTCAGAAACTTGACATTGAAAATAATTGCTCAAAACTTAATAAGGGTCCAAAACATCGGGAAGGTCACCCTTTTTCTTCAAGAAGTCTTCCGTTTCTGGGGAAGAAAAGGTAGACTTAAGATAGTTCCACATTTTGTGAAGCTGATGATTGTGACCAAGAACAAGAAACTGATGAGTAGCTTGGTTCCTTTGACCATCTCTGAAGAAAGACAGTGGTACAAGAATGCTCAACTCTCCATACAGTTGCTTCTTGTGAGAAGACTGTACGGCAGCAGTCTCCAAATTATAAGACAATCAGGAGAAAACTTGAAATTCTTGTTCCAATCACAGCCAAAGCCTTCAAAGGATGCTAGTTTGCAAGTTCTTTGCTAAACACCTTCAGATATTGTCTATGAACTGTTGTAAAGAAGTTAGGCCCCTTTCAAATAACAAGGCTGGAAATACTGAACATGTGTAAGAAAATGAATCTTTCTCTTTATAAGCTTTATAAATTCAAAGTAAGCAGCAAAAAGCAAGTCAACATTTTGACATAGAAAGTTTTAAACAGTTTAAGGGCTCAGGAAAAGTTGGAATATTTGATTTTGAATATTAAGCCTGAAATTAATGAATTTTAAAGAATAAATGCATTTTCATGGGAAAGAAAGTTATTTCTTACATAATGAGATAAGCAACTAATGATAGTGTTCAGAAATGTTCTTGAGAAATGATAATAGGACTTTGAATCAACATTGCTGGGTATGTTGCATGTTTTTCTGAATGCCCTGTTCCCAGAAGAAGCTGTGATACTATTATAAAAAAAAGATTTGGGAAAAAAATGATCTGACATGAATATGAACAACATGAACAAGAATTCATCACTGGACATACCAAAAAATTGGGTGAGGCTGTAGAAATTAAGAAGGAAATAAAAATGCCAATTCAAAAGAGTAATTGGAATAATTTCTACCTGCTGGACTTATGAAAGAAGCTTGTTGAAGTTTGAAAAAATTCAAGATAAGGAGCAATGATCTTTCCAATGAATTAAAGACAAGATTGTTTTATGTAAAAAGATGGAATATAATCCATCTTATTTGATCAGGATTAAAGGGATTTGTTGTTATTTTAGGATTCTTTCTGGATTTGCTGATATCTCACTGGAAACATTGTGTACTGGATTTGCTTATAAAGAATTGAGATACAGAATGATGAGTTTTATGTTTGTTAATGAATGTGATTATTTTAGGCTTGGTACTAAAATGCCGGAAACACTGCTAGATATGTTACAGTATGTGGCATATATGCAGAATAACAAAATGAAAAGTCCAGGTTGAGAGATAGCATACCCTGAATACTATATGGTTATTCACTTTTTGAGATTTTGTGCATGTGTATCTGGATGCCTTCAAGTCAATCTTGATTCCTAGCAACTACCTGGGAACGTCTCTGTAGTTTTCTTGGCAGGATTAGCGAAGTGGTTTGCCATTGCCTCCTTCCTAGGGCTAAGAAAAAGTGATTGGCCTGAGATCACCCAGCTAATTTGTGGCTAAGAAAAGATTAGAACTCAAGGTTTCCCAGTTTCCAGTTGGCATCTACACCAAACTGATTCGTATTAGATTATTAACTTTGACTAATTCAGAATTTTCAAATACCAACAATTAATCCCTTCGGTCAGGGAAGAAGGTATAAGCTAGTTTTACCTTGTTTATACAGAAAAAAATAAGCATGAAATTGAAGCCAGCATAGATGAATGACACATGATATGGGTTAACAGCTGATCACCTCCAATTCTTCAGTTTTTCTGGAATATTGTATAACCCAAGTATTCCTCGGCAACAAGACATGGTGAAGGAGTAAAAGAAAATCAACTTTATGATTTCCCATTCTTCAAACTTTTTTACTCCCAAGCTCTGACTTTCCTCTCAAGGGCTGGACAGGAATGGCAGCATCCTTCACTCAAGCTCTGAACTCAAAAAAGCTGTCTCGGACTTCTCTCTCCTGTGAAGTCACTCTCTTTCCTGAGGGAAAAGTCTGGTATGTCCGTAGATTCTCTGGCGAGATGCGATGGAGGTGCCACATTGTTTTGGCACTCAGTGGTGGGCTAAAAGAAAAGGGGTGAGAAGAACAAGCACACAATGGAGACATGGTTATATAACTGGTGACTGACCTCAGGAAGCACAACATGCATGTAATAGAATCCCAGATGATGAATTTTGGGGGGATCCTGGAGGAAATGAAGCTCCCAGACTGAAAAGGGATCCTGGTTGGAGTTCACCTGAACTGAAAATATTATTTATTCTAAGAGCACTCTTAACCCAAATCTTACCAGATATTCCAGCAGCACATAATAATCTGAATTGGTTAAACATTGCTTGTGTGTGTGAATATAAAGTTCCTAACTACTTAGTCCAGGAAGTATCAGTATCGAATGAGACCTTGCACCACAAGTATACTGGCAAGGCCTTAAGAAATCATCTCCTCCCAGACTTCTAGAGCAGAGATTCCCAACCAGGGGTACTTGCACCCCCTGGGGGTTGAGACGATATTCCAGGGGTGCGAAAACATGAGTTTTCAAAATTATAGTGTATATGCATAATTTGTTGCCATTATTTTGAACTTTTGTAAGGGGTGCGAGAATATATCAGAAGCATTCTAGGGGTGTGGGGTATAGAAAAGATTGGGAACCACTGTTCTAGAGAAAGAAATAGCAGATTGAAGATGGCTCCACAAAAGAATGGAGAATGCAGAATGTTCCTTGTAAGGAGACTGCAAGAATTCCCCTTTTTTATTTCTTTTCTGCACCTTCTACTTTGCCATTTTTCCGCATATATGTATGTGTATATGTGTGCATGTGTAATTGTCTGTCTATCTGTCTGTCTATTTATCTATGTTTGTCTGTCTGTCTTTCTTCTGTCTGTCTATCATCAAAACTGTCTCCTTCCACACTTGACCAACAATAAAATACACATGGCGATCACTATTCAGTAAATGTGTTCCATACGTAATGGCTTTGGTAACAGAGAACATAGATTTTCAGCTGTCCTTTCTCTCCAGATGTTTTTCTTAGAGAACTAGGTTTGCAAAATCAATTGCTTTGGTTCAGATGTTACTACAACATGCCTGCTTGGATAAATTACTTTAATCCTTGCAAGGCTGAGCCTGTTTGGAATTAACCTTCTGGGGTTAGTTAACTGTTTTGTGTGCATGTGTGTTTCTACTACACCACAATCCCTTAACGTGAACATGGTCAACATGTTATTTATAATTGGTCCATTAGGCTGAAGAAAAGATGGAACAATTTAATTGGTCCAGTTTGACATATTTAATTATTTTTATGGATTTATTTATGGATCAAAAGAGTTGATGAAAACCTGTTATCTTCATACTTCCATCTCTGCTGGTAAAGCAGCACACTGCAGGATTATACTCAAAAGTACCTAAACAAAGAAACTCTGCCACAATGTAATGGCCTCCCCCCTCAGCTGTCCTCGAAGGCCAATACCAGAAGATTCCTTACTTGGAGAAGCAATGTCCAGTGACTCTGGACATGGAGCAACAACAGAGCATGTGCTTCTCCAATGCCTGCACTACTAAGAAAGTGGTACTACCCCCATCTGACCATTATTAAATGGCCAGGGTGTGCAGGACAATTTTAGATTACCCTGTTTTCAAATACCAGCCCTGCTTGCACTATTGTCCGGTTCTTCAGCAATGCTTAAAATTCATTGGTTAATTAACTGACCTTGTGACTCAACTTTATAAACTAGATTTAAAAAACATCTAGCCTGCCATATTAGAATGCCTTGTAACTTGATGTAGATTTCCACCTTTTATATTCCCCTGCACCCATCTAATGCTTCTATTCCTTCTTTTAGATTATTTTAAACTCTCACTATATGTATATTCTGCTGACCATGTGAGACATAAGTACATTTTTATGAACTTGCTTCAGAGATGAATAATGCTGAGATAAAATCTGAAAGGAAATAGAATTATACTACACACATTCCTCATTTTCCCTTTCAAAATTTCAAATATATCTGATCTGTTTCATATATGAAAATTCCTGGTTAAGAAAAAGAAAAAAGTGAAAATGAAGAAAAAGATGCAGGCATCTGTGAAAGAAAGGACAACAAATATAAACAGCTTTTTGAAGTTTTTTAATTAGATACTGTGAATGTAAAATAGAAAAAATATTTTACTTCAGTTTTGTAATAATAAGAAACACAAACACTTTTCTAAGTGGATGAAATACTCAAAAGAGCAAGATTATATAGTATGACAGTTTGTTTTAAAATATACCAGAGAGTTATATTTTAAATCAGCTAAGTATTCCATCCATCGTGTCATTCCATCCAGTGAATGGGTGAGTATGAAACAGAATTAGCAAGATAACTTATTTCATTCCTCAGTAATATTTTTGAAAATAGGAACTCCAAATTAGAGGTGGAACTCTAAAGACACTAACATTAATATACTTGTTTTTAATAAGAAATATAAAGATCACACATTTCTTCACTGATTATTCATGATAAATGTTTTTATTACTGTTAGGGAACTTGTTTGGATTCTATTCTGCCTATCACATGCATGTTTAATGATATATTTCAGTGCAAGTGAAGGTAAATTTTCAAGTATCTCTATCATATGTTACAATTTACAGAAGCTCCTACAATACTTTATATAAAGAAAGTGACATGAACCCTCAGATTTTTGACATTAGAAGTAGTCAAAACACATTAAATGTAATTTCATTTAAATGTAATTAGAAGTGTAATTTGGTGCTTTGTTCTTTCTTTTCAGATTCAATTAGCTGCATTCTTCCAACTAACTCCATCTGTGTATAACTCACACAAGGTCAGACTATGGGGAATTGTTTCATTAAAAAAAGTAATAAACCTGCTATAAAATGCTAGCCTACAGCATAATCTTTTATTTCCTAGAATAGTACTGGGTTCCATCAATATTCTTATAAAATAAAAATGACATGTGCTACAGCCTAGCCCTAGACCATGTATATCCCTAAGCAAAAAAAAAAAAGCTAAAATTTGTAGGAAAATATTTCTGGAAAATAAGGCATTGACAGGGAACATCCTTGCCATTACCTTCTAGTAAATGGTACTTACCAGATTATCTTCTGGTAAATGTTATTTATATTCTGGTAACACCCACTAAGACACACATTTAGGGACCATACTACTAACTGGATATTTCTGAATAAAACTAAGAATACTGCAATTAAAGCTCATGCCTTAACACTTAATTATGTTCCTAAATGTTAATCTTAAAAGTATAGTTGTTTATCCTTTGCTTATTCAATATGGTCTCATCTTTAGATTTAATCTAGAGCTTCTTATCCTTAGGGTACAATTCATATTAACACAGAATATGAGTCCATAAGGGACATGTTAGTGTGCTTGGATGTCTTTTCACTTACCTCATAGCTGGTCGATCGGATTTCATTTTTCCAACTGAATAATAGGAACTACCACATTCTACCAGCAGAGGGCACCCATGAAGTATGAGAAATTGAACAGTTTGATTTATGCTCACTCTCTATTTCTTCAAGTTTATCAAAAGAAATACAACATTGTAAATATGTAAAATGGAGAACCACATGATTCTCACAATTATGCCTCTATGCAAAAGCCTAGTCAAGTAGCTGTAGAAGATTTATACAAATGAATTCAAAAAACACTCTAGAAGAAATAATTGAAAAAGGAAATTTCGATTTGTTGTAAGAAAGCCAATTTTGATAACTGTGGGCAAACTCCCAGTTACAAATAATGTCAAGAAAAGTTAAACTGGGCATAACTGGGCATCATCCAACAACTCAGGCAAAGTTTGGGGCAGACATCTCAGTGTTAAAGCAATGTGTTCTACTTACTCAACTGGCATGATATCAGCTAGCAGGGTTAGGAATAGATAAGGTCCCAAAGGTGCTTTTCTAAAAGGCAACTGGACTTCTTTGTTTTTTTTATCTTGAAAACTTTTCACTTTTCATCCAAGAAGCTTCTTCAGTTCTCTGAAGAGCTGAACTAAAGAACTGAAAACTGAAAAAGCTTCTTGGATGAGAAGCAAAACATTTTCAATGAAGAAAGTCCAGTTGCCTTTTGGAAAAGCATCTTTGGGACAACCATGACCTGGATGATTGAGAATTGCCATAGATCAGGGGTTTTCAACCTTGGCAACTTTAAGACTTGTGGACTTCAATTCCCAGAATTCCTCAGCCAGGTCCACAAATCTTAAAGTTGCCAAGGTGGAGAACCCCTGCCATAGATGAATAGATAAGGTATATAACTGCCAATTGTCCAAATCAAGGTAAATCTATTTTCTAAAATCATATGCAAAATTCAACATCCTACCAACTGTGACCCCATTCCCTGTACCTAGGTTCATAAGAAAAGTTTTACTAGATCAGCAAGCTATCTATTTTTCCAGTGGCCAGTCAAAGGACTTCCAAGCAGGAAGGGCAATGCTTTACTTAATGGTGTTTAGTAGCATGTAATGTCTGAAACGTGATGGTGCCTAGAACAGAAGACCCAACCTTTTCGTAACATCATAACCACAAACTTTGATGGACCATGCAAGCCAGAATTAGCAATATGGAACCTGCTGGTATCATAGCATAAGTCAGGGGTCCTCAACCTTGGCAACTTTAAGGCTTGTGGACTTCAACTCCCAGAATTCCTCAGCCAACTTAAAGTTGCCAAGGTGGAGGACTCCTGGCATAAGTGACTATCCCAGGTGACACATATAAAATCCTAAAAGTAAATTAAAAAGAAATAAAAAATAAAACTTGCAAGATAACTCAAAATTTCCTGATATTTTCAAGAAGGCTATTAAAACTTTCACAGAACTTGGCAATTCTTTAAAAGAAAACTTTGTGCTGAAAGCCTGTGCCACTTGCTATACCTTCAGGCATCACAGACCACGGATTGGCAACTACTAGCCTAGAGTTATCAGGGTGAAGGACTGTAATAGAATCTTCTCCTCACCATAATTTTTTTATTGCCTCTTTAAATTATTCAAGATATTACACTCTGTAATAGCAAATACATGAATTAAAAACTGAGTGAAATAATTAATTTTCTGTCTACTACTCAAAGATTGCACTGAACAATCCAATTTTTTAAGGTAAGCAATTTAATTCTATTTTTCTACCCAGCCAGTTACTTTAATTCAGTAACTGAATTATCCTCATCTGTTGTGTAGGGCTTCTAAAGGTTTCCAACATCTGGTCTGCAATCTTGTTTCACCATCCTGTCATCCCAAAGCAATAGAACTACAGTCCCACGACAGCACCAAGAATTAGTTACAGCAGGAACAGAAATGCTACCCTCTGTAAAGCATGGAGGACAAAAATACATCGTATTTCCTGCCAACACACAAAGCCATAAAAATAAGTACAATCTGTGGCAGAGCAACATGCCCTAGAAAAGTGCTCCAGGGGATTGATCAATCGTGATTAATGCTTGTGTGCCTTGGACAGGAATAACAAAACAGATTGCTTTGAAATGACAGACTAACAGGCAATGCTGGATTCATTATTTAGAAAGATACAAACTAGGGAGGTGTATTAAAAGCAGAAATCAGTCTGCTGAAATGGATGAACTTTTCCTATATGATGTCAGTTTGCAGCAGTGAAAATCTAGAGAAGAGTCACTAATATTTTTTCAGCAGTTTTCTGGTTTTTATAGCAGTATGGTAACATATTAAGATTAAAACTCAGAAATATTAAGTTTGCTGAATTTCCTATTTATATATACTATCTTATATCAGTTCAAGATGCTCTCACCATTATAAAACTGCAGATATCCAGCTTAGGCCTTAGGGCTATGAGATCCAGGCTTCAAAATTATAATCATTATAATGCATTAAATGCCTTGGTGGCACAGTGATTTGAATGCAGAATTGCAGGTTGACTCTGCCCATTGCCAAAGGTTCAATCCTGACCAGCTCAAAATTTGCTCAGTCTTCCATCCTTCCAAGATCAGTAAAATGAGGACCCAAATTATTGGAGGCAATATGCTGACTCTGTAAACTGCTTAGAGAGTGCTGTAAAGCACTATGAAGTGTTATATAAGCCTGGGTGCTATTGCTATTAAAGAGTTTATATTTTCTTTCTCTCTTAGCTGCCATCTGTAGTCTGCATAAATAATTAATCTCTCAACCAAGTATTCCTTTTTTCACCTAACATATAAAAAAAATCAATAATGTAGCAAGTGCAAATCAGGCATTTTATAATATAGACAACCAGATGCCTGACAGACAAATGAAGGAATTGGAACATAAGAAGTGACCTACAACATGCTTAACCAAATCTTAATAATGATTTAAACTTTCTCCAAGATCTGTCAAGTATACCTAGAACCCTTGCGCAAATACAGTCCTAGCAAGGGTTTCTGATTACAATTACCCCTTCTTGGTCAGCCAGGCATCAGTAGGCATGCAGCTAATCAGTGTTTGGGAGACATATTTTATGCTGTCAGGCTTTGACAATTCTGTAATATAAATCCTTTTTTCCTTCCAGTACTTTTTTTGGAAGACTAGATATATGAAACTGGTCAACTGATTTATTTCATGTTTCTGCAATACATTGACCAACTTTGTTTGACCAATTAAGTGTATTTGGGAACAGATATTAACTTGATTAATTCAATTAATTGCATTTGTTATAGCCACCATTCCCTTAAACTCTGTGTAGCTTATAAAATCCCAAAGACAATTAAAGAGAATGACAAAGTTGCAGACTTGAGTTCACAGCAAATGTTTACATTTAAAATACATTGCATAAATGGTGTGAAATCAAGCAAGTCAAATAAAATAATATTGTACTATATATAATTGGAAAGCAAAGGTTAATACACTATCCATTTAACATATGTTCACCCAATCTTCGAATGTAAGTACTATCTGGAAGGAATATTGATGATGAACATTGAAGTTAGAAAGTTTCACCAATTATGCAGGATATGGCACACTACATAGGTGATATATAAGTACTGTGCATTCTACATTCCCGAGTAATTCTCCTAGGAAATTATATATTGGAAATTGAAATGTAATAGATAAAGCTTGATACATTTTATTCAAGGAAATTTGAAGAAACAAGCAACAGAAAGAGAACAAAGATATTTTACAAACATTTTTGTAATTCTTTAAATAACATGAATCAGTTTTCAGATTACATACAACTTTACTTACATGATTTTTAAGAACATAACACCATCATAAACCCATCTGTCACAAAGCAATACTGACAAATGGAAGTAAGAACTCAGTTGTGATTAAGGACCTTAATTAAAGCAACACAGTATGGCCTAATACAGTGGTTCTCAACCTGTGGGTCGGGACCCCATTTGGGGTCGAACGACCATTTACGGGGGTTGCCAAACAATGCAGTCCGCCATTTTTTCCCCTTTTCCTTAGCTGTGCTACTCCCTTTTATTCTATTGGCTTTTGAAAGCCAATAGAATAGACTCTCTTGAATAGAGTATAATTCTATTGGCTTTCAAAAGCCAATAGGAATTGTCCAGGCTGTCTCTGCCCTGCTGAGCCCGCCAAAAGTCCCATTCTGCAAACGGTGCTGCACCAGTTGAGTAGTCCTTGACTTATGACCGGTTGAGTAGTCCTCGATTTACAACCAGTTGGGGGGTCACGGCATTAAAAAGGTTGAGAACCACTGGCCTAATACCATACTGACTGGGAAACCATGGACATTAATTCAAGGAATATTTATATTTTTAGACTTGGATCAAAATCAGTTACACAGAGAACAGTACTGTATGTTCAATTATAAAAGCAGAGAACTTCATTATAGGTAGTCCCTGGGTTACAATGACAATTGGGAACGGGAATTTGCTAGTCACCAAGCAATGTGATAATAAAGCATAATGTCACATGACTACAATCTAGTTTACATTTTCATTCCAAAATGTGCAAATCATTAAGTGAGAAGCAGTTCTCAGGCAAAAAGTATAGGATACCACAGGAGGTGAGAGAGGCTGGGGAAGGCCCTAGGAGAGCCAGTGCAGACCGTGCATGAATTGAGGGCAGCTGGGGAAGGCTTGGAAGCTCAGTAAAGGCTGCGAACAGATACTGTGGGCCAAAGAACTTACCAGAGTGACCTGTGACCTTCTTTACCAGCTTCCCTACTGACTTTACTTGTGGGAAGCTAGCAGCAAAGATTGCAAATGGTGATCAGGCCTCTCTTCAACATTGTAATTGCAAGCCAGACACCCTTATGCCCTGATTGCAATCACATGACCACAGGGGTACTGCAATGGGAACTCTGGAAACCAATCATGTGTCCAATTTTTTCAGTGCTACCATACTTTTGAGTGGTTGCTGAATAAATGGGACATAAACCAAGGACTATCTGTAACAAAGTACACATAACTAGAGGCATGCAAAAATATTCAAACTTAAAATCCCTTTTGTTCTGAGCTGAGAAAGGTTTGGTCTGAGCTGGGAACGCTTCCAGAGTACAGGTAATGGTTTAGCAACCACTGTTGGCACCAGTACCTCAGTTGCTAAGCAGAATGGTCGCTAAGTGAAATCATGACTATGCTTATAATCATACTTCCGCTTTCCTTTACTTTACTGACCTGCGAAGGTTTTAAATGCGAGGATTCATCATAAATTACTTTTTCATCACGGTTATCACTGTGAATGGTCACTAAATGAGGTAGTTACTATTTGAGAACTACCTATAATTATATCATTGAACCAAAATAGTTGTAACATCATTTGAACACTATGATATGGTCAGAATACAAGTTTCAAATTCAAAATGTTTATTTATTTATCAAATTTTAAGAATGCCCATCTCCTGCATTTATGTATTCATTTTTATTTATTAAATTTATATGCTGCCCATCTTACTCATACAGCAACTCTGGGAGGGTTACAATATAATAAAAAGTTAAAAAGTGCTAAAAGCAAAATTGGTATTGAAAGATTAAAAGTTAAGAACCAAGACGATGGGCAGCCTGGGGGTGAAACTCTTCTCTATGTTGTCGGCTACCCCCAACAGGTCCCTATCAGAGCCCCAAGCCAAACAGCAGAGCCAAGTATTTAGGCTCTTCCAGAAGGCCAAAAGTTTGGGGATGGATCTCACCTCTGATGAGAGAATATCCCACAGAGCAGGGGCCACAGCAGAAAAGGCTCTTCTCCTGGATCATGCAGGCCAAAATTCTTTGGCCAACAGGACCCTTTCCCCTGAAACGAGTGGGACGGGTTAGTCCCATTAATGTAAGGCAATTCCTCAGGTAACCTGGATTCATGCCATAAAACATACCAATAATATGTTTTGCATATCATAGACCAGAAATCATAGTTCATCTGAGCTTAGTTCTTGTAGCCTTAACAAACACCCAAAACAGATTGCAGAGAGGTAAACAGAACAAATCAGAAGATACATTCATAGTAAATTTAAATCATCCAATTAAAATAAAATACAGAATTTACAAGCAATACATAAGCATATATGTACATGGATCAATATATAATTGCATTTTCCAATAACAATTATTGCATATTTTAAGAGAAACTTGTTTTTAAGGGAGCAGAGGGTGGGTATTTTGCAAATACTAGAAAAGAAATAGATCCAAGAAAATGCCTTTAAGCGGCCATAGTGGGGCATTCATTCAAGAAAATATCTTCCCAATATATACGGGATCAAAGCAAATACAGATGGTCCTTAACTTACAATCACAATTGGGACCAGAATTTCCATTACTAAGCAACTGTTGAGTTGTGCCCAGTTTTATGATCCTTTTTGCCATGGTTGTTAAGCAAATCCCTGGTGTTGTTAAGTGAATCACATAGTCATTAAGCAAATCTGTCTTCTTCCATTGATTTTACTTGTCAGAAGTTAGCTGGGAAGCTTGCAAATGGTGATCACATGACCCTAGGATGCTGCAACAGTTGTAAATACATGTCCAGTGCCATGCACCCAAATTTTGTTCATATGACATGGAGATACTGTGACAGTCGTAACTGTGAGGTTCAGTCGTTATTTTTTTCAGTGCTGTTGTAACTTTGAATAGTCATTAAACGAATGGTTGAACTTTATATTTTATTTTTATTACATGCTACAATATACTGTAAATAAATAGGAGACCCAATTCCCTCCCCTCCCTGTAACTCTTCCTTGAGATTTCAGGGCAAATCAAGAGATTATGAGGAAATAAGCCACCTAGGTTTTTTTTTTTCTTACACTGATATGAGTAACATTTGCAAGGGAGAATTAGCAGATGGGCAGGTTTCTGAATTCTTCTGTTCTTCCCTGTAAATGTTTTTCATCCTCAAACTGTTATAATTTCTCTCTTCAATCCCCTCCCACAATATGATTGATCTACTTATGATAATAGGAATAACTAAGGATAAAATGGTGTATTGACTTGGAATAGCTCTCTTTCAAGCAAAAGAAGCCAATGTTTTCCAAATCAGATGGGTAGATTTCTACTAATATATTTTTAATAATCTGGTAAAATGCTGGATTTCCTTTCCCCTCTAACATCTGTTCTCTGATTTATTACTATGGTGAAATGGGAATGTTATGTTACTTCAATGATTAGGAATACAGAATACAGATCAATGAACCAAAATGATAAAAAGCAGAAAATTAACAAGTGATGCATAATAGTAAGGGCAGAAATCATAGTTCAATATTGCATAAAGCAGTGAAGGTCCCAGATTCAATCAGAACTTAAATAACAAATCTGGAAAATATATTTGTCTCCTTGAGGTTTTGGAGAACATATTGCCAATCACAATAGCTAACTATGAGAAATGAGGTGAACCAATAACTAATATAAGGCACCTTCTTATGCTAAAGATAGTTCTATTGTACTTTCTGCTTTCTGTTATTATTATTTAGTGTATGGCATATCACACATGGACTAGCAATATATTAACATTTCAACTAAATCTGTTTTCTGTGAGAATCTCACTGTACAATTCTATATAAGAGAACATAGGGCTGCAGTGTTTTCTGTCACAGTAACTTTGTCCATCATTGCCAATAACAAGTTTTTTCTCCTTTACAAAGATTTAGACTGCAATTAAGCTGTACAATATTATCTGACTTTAATGAATAGTCTGAAGAGCAGGACAGGAGATAAGAGAATATTTTCTTGGAAAAAAGAAACTTCCAGGGTTGAATTAACACATTTGAGACTATCTTTTTAAAGGACTAAGAAGAATGGGATAAACAAAAAAGAAAAGTATTTTTCATTTGAACAAAGACTAAAAAACACCCAAAATGATTCTGTTGGAATGATAATTAATGTCTTTAGATATACTACTGACTCTTTGATGTGTTTCTTTCCATGATGAATGGCAGAACAAAAATAGCAAGAAAAATATAAAGTGCTGTCTACCTTGTGCGTAAACACACTGCCTAACGCAAAGAAATTGTTGCTTTTGTTAATGAATCTCAAAATTTTAGATGGATTTTAGATGACCATGAGGATCTTAGAAGGGATTTACTGACGTGATCCAAGTCACCTCAGATTATTTTAGACTCAGACTTGTTACAGATAGTCCTTGGCTTAGAAGAAATTATTTGAAGTTACAATGGCACTGAAAAAAAATGATTTACAATCAGTTCTCTCACTTACAACTATTGCAGCATTCCCACAGTAATGTGATCAAAATCTGATTACTTGGCAACGGACATGCATTTTTGATGGCTGCAGCATGCAGGAGTCATAAGATCACCATTTGCAACCTTCCTAGCCAACTTCCAACCAGTGACGTCAATGGGGGAAGCCAGATTTGCTTAATTCAACTTAACAATTGTTGTGATTCACTTAACAAGTGTAGCAAAAAAGGTCATTAAATTGCTCATGACTCACTTAACAATCATCTTGCTTAGCACAAGAAATGTTGGTTCCAATTGTGGTCATAAGATGAGTACTGAGAGCCTATAACAGAATAGCAGAGTTGGAAGAGACCTTGGAGGTCTTCTAGTCCAACCCCCTGCTCAAGTAGGAGACTCCATACCATGCCGTGGTTGTCCAATCTCTTCATAAATCTTCTACAATAAGGAAACTGATGAGTTTCTATAACACTTCCATAAACAATCTCAATATAATACCTGATTTCTTTCCCTCCACACCATTGTTTTTGCCCATTAGACTCACAGATCAAGAGGATGAGGATACTTGTCTCTTTCCTTCATAGGCAGCACAAAGTATGGTACCATGTGCAATGTCCCTGTCTTATCTCTGTAATGTTCACGATGCATCTGAGTAAGCTACAAATTAAAAATAAATTGGGTCAGGAGCATCAGTACATAGACCTGAGTTCTTTTGAGAATATTTACTTTATGTGTTTACTTAATTTCTAAATCATCCACATTGCTGTTATGTAAGGGTTGGTGTGCTGAATCTACACAAGGGAATCTAGCACTGAGAACTCTATTCTATAACTATGTACATGTGTAATGTTTAATTACTTAAGAGATGTTTGTGTATAATAATACGATTTGATAAGATATGATAATATTGGTTTTTTTAATTAAACTAGTTATTATTGGAAGAAGAAATAAATAAGATTGGTGATAAAAAAGGGATGAGAGGGATTAAGAACTTGAATATATTTGCAAGAGGTATTTGAAGTGATAATACATTGATGTAAAACCTATCTGATTATGGTAATTGAAATTGATTTAAAGTTTTAATAAACAGGTTTAGTAGTAATAGAAATTTAGGATAGAAATGAAATATATTAAATTTACTATGTTACTTGAGGGAAATAGAGAGATGATAGTGAATGTATTCAGCTGAGCTGTTATTGTGTGATTTTATGTTGGAATCTTTGTTTACCCAAACACCACGGTGTGTCTTAAACACTTTTTGTTAAAACTATAAAACCAATAAAATACATTTTTTTAAAAAAAGAACTCTATTCAACCATGATGCCTATCACTTTAGCATGGAACTGAAGTAACCTCTTTACATGATTGTTGTGAGGCTAAAACTTAATAGGGATTGGTGATTCTGCTAATTGTACTCAATTCAGTTTCTCATTTTTCCAGATGTATGTCTGCATGCATTCAGTGCCTCCAAATCCACGCAAAAATCTATGTGCATTTGCCAGAGTTGTCCATTTCTATACAAACTGTTTTTCTTCTTTGTGCACTTTTCCCAATGTACTCCTTTCCTTTAGCACATTTTTTCTTGTAACATTATTTTATGCCAATTTTCCATCAATATGCATGTCTTTATGCAGTCTTTATGCACTTTTAAATTTGATTTTAATTTAATGTACTAATTATTTCCCTACACTTCTGTATGGTTTTGCACTATGTGTGCAGCATATGTTCAAAAAAACATTGTTAAAAAAATCCTAGCTTAGCATTAATGAACAAAAATATCTGTAAAATTCTATTAACCTTAAAAAATAACTGAAAATAAATGACCTTTTTGGTCACTTTCTATTTTCTACAAATATATTTTTTCATATGGATAAACAAAAGCATTCACAGGATCCACCATTTTGCCAAAATGATGAAAGCAGCAATCTGCCATAAACTGTGTGTGCAATATCACAGTACATATACAGAAAAAGGTTTGCATCAGGTTGGTGCAGTGCTACTTCACCATTTGTCCCCTCCCACTTGCCACCCCATGAATGTTCCCACAAGGGAATGCAGCAAGTTTGGAAGCAATGATTTGTAAGAAAAGAGAGAAAAGCTTGCAGAGAAAGGACTTCCTCTCTCCATTCTGTTATTTTTCCACCCAAAATCCCAGAGGTTTTTTTTATTAATAAAATCCAAAGATTCATTGTTGCCATTTTCATGCAATGATGGGTTCAAACAGCATGCTAAATTCTAAATCTGGGTTAACAAAAAACAATTGTCATGTTTCCACATACCAAACAAATCAGATTAAGATTTAACACAATGCTATCATTCCTGCAACATGCTAACATCTAAATGAGATGGGCAGCACACAAATGAAATAAATAAATAATAAAAATAAACTGCCAACTGCCCATAATATGCTAATCTATAAATTACCCATTGCCACTTTAACCTAATACACTTGTTTGTTGTGCAAAAAAAATAAGTTTGCTTCGAAAGCTGACAAACTATTAAGTAGAATAGATAATGACAATCACAATAATCCTGCATTTTTACCTGAAGCAACCTGTTTTTTCTTTCTCACTCCCCCTACTCTCTCTTTGTGTGTGAGTGTGTGTGTGAAAGAGAGAGAAAAAGAATGTGTAAATAGAAAGGGCTTTAAAATATTTTTAAGTTTTAATGTCATTACTTTAGAATCACTAAGAAACAAAAGAAAAAGGTCTGAACAAATAGTGCTTCTTTTCAGTCCATTAATTTTGACATCTCACTCTTAATTATTTATAGATTGTTTAACTGCTGTGGATACACTGGCTATTGAGTAAGAAGAAATTTCCCTTATTTCCAGGCTTAAGAAGGAATAAAAATTAAACTAAATTCAACATAGCAGGATCTGTGTATGCTGCTCACTTTTTGTGAGATGGACGGCTATATAATTTGATTATAAATAATAAATAAAATAAATCTACTTTAGCACACTTTTCTGTATTCAAAATGCAATTATCAACACCTACAATCAGGGAAGGCTATTTATGTGTAACCCCTCTACTTTTCCCGCACAGCTTTGCACTCGCAACCGTGCTCAAGATTGGTATCTCATTTTTTCCCTTTTTAATATTTTTTATTTATTTGGGTTTTTTATATTTTATTGTTTGTAGAAACTTAATAAAGTATATTAAAAAAAATAACAACAAAGACTGGGAACTAGAATCACAGGGCATGGCCTTATAATAAAAAGATCATAAAGTTAGAATGAAAATGCCTTTTTAAGTTTCTCAGTAGCAATCTGGAAAAAAAAATGCCATGCAATCAATTAATTCATCTAGTGGGATGACCCAGATGAAGACTGTTAAGAATACTGATTGCTGGCAAGTTGACTAAGGTTCTGTTGAGTTTTCTCAAGAAACACAGGCTTTCTTGTCATTGATGAAGGAGAAGAGAATGCAAAAAGCCAGGTTCTTGCTCCATAAAAATAGCTTAAACAGCACAGGAGTTCTCATGGCAGAATGCAGCAGTTCCTAGCAGCCTAGAAAGTGCAGAAGGCTTCCCTGAAGGCAGAACATTTGGTAACTTCTGAACTAATACAAAAGCCTGCTGTAAGAAATCAGGCAATAAACAATCACTCTTGTCTACCCATCTGAATTATTATGTTGTCTTTTTCTATATTTTCTATTATCCCAACCCACCTTGTCTTCTGCACTTATTAAATCTTGTTTTTCCTTTACCAAATTGTCCCAGGACTAATTAACACAATCCACATGAACATGTGGTACAATTTGTCCCTGCATGTATGTCTCCAACTGCAGAATATATCATTTGTTGATGTTCTGTCACTGAAACCTGTCCTCTTAAAAAGATCTGCTTGTCAAGGGGGGGGGGGGAGGAAGGGACTGGACAAAGTAAACAGCGGTCAATTCCATTTTTTATTATATACAATTGGATTTTCTACTTTCAAAATATAAAGAAGCCAATCTTTATTCTAACAGACCTAGGAGGCAACTTAAAAGTTATTTGTCTCCTAGTAGATCCTTTTCCATAAATCTTAAAATGCTGAAGAACAGGCATAAACTGAAATGTAAAAGATATTAAAACACAAAGAGCATTCAAGTTACATCTAGGATTAATATAAGTATCACCAGACTATTTGGGTTTTGTTTTAAAAAATGGAAAGCATTCTGAATAGTGTTTCTATGCATGCAAGTGGGTAAGATCCCATTTATCATTTTATGCACACATAAAATGCATAAATGTCATATTCATGAATTACACATCCCATGTGTAATTCCTTTCCCCCTCTTAAACCAAGTGTTTACTCTTAGACAATAACGAAATATCCCTAATTAGTTTAATGTAGATCATCTACATGACATTTTGAATTCACAATTTCAAATTATGTGTAATTGACCATGAGGGAGACGGTATGTCAAAGCAGCTTTACCTTGTAGAACTCTCCCAGTTCTTCTGAGCGGTTCATATCCAAATTGAAACGAGAGTAATTAGGAGTACGTAGCCATCGATCCCAGCCCCTTGCCCTTTCCCCAATCACGAGAGATGGGTCACGGGAGAAAAGGGTTGGGAATTGGCCTCCTTTGCTATAAGGACTATAACTGGTTTCCATTGCAGCACTTCGGAAGTCTTGAAAATATTTCATGGTGGTATTTCCATAGGTGTCACCAAAGGAAAAGGCTACATTAGGGACATGGCCACGGTACCTAGAGAAAAAGGGGAAATCAAATTACACATAAATTTATTCACCTGGATAACACTCATTATTTGCAGCATTTTGCAAACACTACAATCTTCATAAAACAAATAATTATTACATCTATTTTTCCAAAGGCAGAATTAAAGCAGTTGATGGTTTCTTGATTTGCTTAGACTAGTGCCACATATTATTTCTATGCCTCATGTAAGTTTTTCTCTATGTAGACCTTTCTGTGGGAACCTGTATATTTTACTTGAATCACTACTGAAAAATCAAGTTCTAATTGCTTAAGTAAAATATTCTTAATCAGAAATTATGTAAAACAGATTTTAACATTCCAGTCTTTCTAACTTTCTTCTTCCCACCCCTCAATATTCAGTGTCTGAATGAGTTTTTCAACAACTATTACGTAAGTTCCATATTTAAAAAGATGTAAAGATGCTATTCTGCCCAATTTATAGCCCTCACTAAGCCTGTGAACAAGGAAATACAATCTAACATTATTCCTAAATGACTGTTGCTATGCAACACATTATTAACGACCAGTTTGCATCTTTCTCATATTGATGCTTTCTAGTAAGTGACCTCCATCTCAACACTGCATTTAATAAGTTAATTGCATGATTTTTTTCTAAGCAATTTTTCAAAGTAGAGGAAATTAATTACAGATATAAGATAATTATACCATTCTTTTTATAAGCTATATATAAGCAAGATCTCCACTAGTAATTTATAGCATCTTTTTGAACCATCTAACCATTGCTATACTAATATAACAGTAATGAGGACAACATTTATATCACTTAAATAGTAACTGAATGATGGTAGAAGTGCTATAAGGGAAATAACCATAATCTCTTCTACAATAGTCTTGATTACCTGAAATTTATCATATTCCTTCTTTCAAATAAACACTTCTCAGCATCCTACACTATGCAATTTGCATTTTAAAAACATATCAGTACTATTCTGAGTTCCTATTTTCCTGCATGTAGTCATCAAGAAGCTCTCCTTAGAAGAATGAGTTGCTCAGCAATAAAATAGGAACACTTTAACACTGCCACACACACACACAGACACACACACACACACACACGGGGGGGGGGGGAAACCATTTGAAAATAATGGATTAAGGACTGGGAAATTCATGTGTAATATACAAAGGTGTGGATAAATAAAGGATGGGAATATAATTATCAGACTGGGCATTATCATAATAATATGCACGGGGGAGTTTGCTCTGTTTTTACTGTATACCAACAGTTCTACCAGTTTATCCCCTCCCACTCATCTAAAAGCCTTTTGGTTTAAATGCATTCTAACACATGAACATCCTTTTTTCCGGACAAGGAAGCAGCTTTTTACAAATAAAATTTCTATTACCGTAGGTCTTCTGAAAAAGTATATAGAATGTCACCGTCTTTTGCTGACGGGACAGTTCGGTCACATCGTTCCTCATCTTTTGTTCCCAGCGTCTCAGCCTCCACCCACCTTTAAACCCTCGCTGACCGACGCCTCAAATCCCCCGCCGTCCCCACCTCACTAAAGACATTTGCCGGCCACCCACCCAGGCATGAGCCCCGGCGGCACATAGACCGCGTTGTTTTGAGTGAGGAGTGTCCCAGCGCTGCGTGAGGCCATAGCCACGATCCCTTCGGCGGTGAGGGACGGATCAAGTCACGAACGCTGCCAACTACCGTAGCCGGGAATTGAGAGCCTTAAGGTGGAAGCCGGCCTACTTGTAAGGCCGAAGCAGTCACAAACCAGTCGCCATGGCAGCCAAGAGGCCCTAGTCCCGCTGCACTGGCGCAGAAGGAGGCCGCTCCCTTCGCCTCCTTCAGTTGCGCCCATCCTTCCGCGCTCCTCTCACCAGGAAAAAGTGGGCACGTGGCTCACACACGGCGGCGAAGTGTGTGGAGCTTTTTAAATAAAGAAATGCAACGTGAGGAAATACGTCTCGGGTTATCTGTAGGATTTTATTCGGCATTTTAAAAAATCCTTAGAATTATTGCACCCGTACGTTGCAAACTGGAAGAAGACACAATTAATTCCCAGAAGCATGCTCGCTTATAAATGTGCTTAAAATTGTTTCCTGCTTGAGCAAAGGGTTGGACTAGAAGACTTCCAAGGTCTGTTCCAACTCTATAATTCTGTTCTGATCTTTTCTCAATTCCTGAAACCAGGCAAAAGCCAGAGCAAAGGCGTTGATTATTTGGTAGGATACAGTCCCAAAGGTGCTTTTTCAGGAGGCAACTGAACTTTCTTGTTTTTCTTTGAAGAAGTTTCACCTTTGGAATAACTATGATCTGGATGACTGAGAATCTCTATAGACACAGTCTGAGGCATGTCGTTGAAAGGGGTGTGACATTATACATAATGAGGAAAATCCCTCCTGCTTATTTATAGGTGTTTGCAGTGCTTTTTTTCTAAAAAAAAAAAAAAAAAAAGTGCCGGAACTCACACATATCATACAACCCACCTTGCCTACCTTACAAGGTTCCATCCAAAAAAGGTGCGGGAAATCCGTTCTGGGTGTTCTATGAGAAAAAAAAGCCCTGGGTATTTGGTGAAAATCCAAGGCCAGTGCTTCTTAACCTTAGCAATTTTAAGTAGGTGGGCTTCTTGGCTAGCTGGAGAGTTCTGAGAATTGAAGTCCCACTTAAAGTTGCTAAGGTTGTGAAATAGTGGATTAGATTATACAGTATGTCCCAACTTGCATTTTAACTTTCTGGTTGGCATTTAGCATATGCACCCAAATTGTAGCTGCCTGAGACTGTCATAAAGCAATAGATGTTTATGTTGTATACTACCTTCTTTAATGAAATGTTATTGTGTGAGGTTTGCTTCTGTGTTCCTTTGTTTTATGAAAGGTTTTTCTTGCACATCTTTCCGGGTGCTGAGTAAGCAGAAGACGATTCATCAATTTAATACATATCAATTTTTTAAAAAATGTGGTCTGGAAGCTTTAGATAGCTGAAGGGGAGAGGAAGCAAGAAAGCATTTTATGGCAGCTTAAAAAATAACAAATGTATTGTAGTATAAATGTTAATGTGTTATGAGACAAAGGAGCTTTCATCCTGTCTTCTGACTGCTAGTTAATGTTCATGAATACAATCTGCTATCTACTGACAGTCTGTTTTACATAGTGGCTGTTAACAGTCCTTAGGCTGTATGTTGCAGATGACTCCTGGGTTTTTTTTCTTGAGCTACTGTGTCTTTTGGTTTACTTAACATCCAAACAGACATGTGCAAGCAAACAATGAAATTCAGAGAGTTTCATCAGCGGTGAGCCAGATATATTCTCTTCTACTGAAACACTTCAATTAGATGAGCCACAAATATTTTTCATGAAGAGTGCAATATAAGGTTTCATTTAAAAGTTTTTTATCCTTATTCAAGTTATTTTAATAATTGCTTTGTATTTTTCTATTATTATTCATACGTTTAGTTATTTCACCTCTTCATGTTAGCAATGTATCATTGGAACACGCATCCAATGGGCATCTGTGGATCAATAAACAGCTTAATTCATTTTAGATAACAGTTTCAAGATTGTAGCCTTTGCAACTAACTCAGTATTACTAACTGAGGTGCCATTTTCATACTCAGATTTACGGAATCCTTGGACATAAACCATGGTGGTGCGGGAGCCATGATAACGCAATGGTTAGAACTTCCACAGCTAGGAGTTCAATCCTGACCAGTTCCAAGTTGACTCAACCTTCCATCCTTCTGAGTTTGGTAAAATAAGGACCCAGATTGTTGGGGACAATATGCTGACATTTGTAAACAGCTCAGAGAATGCTGTAAAGCACTATGGAGTGGTATATAAGTCTAAATGTTATTGCTATTGCTATAAGAGGCAGAATAGAACTAATTTAGTTAGGCAAATGAGCATTATTTAAAATCTAACCCACTTTAAAGCATCTATTTATTCCTGCAAAGTTAAAAATGGCTACATAGATGAATATTAGTGGACATTTTTGCCTTGAGAAGCAAAGTTGGATGATCAAAATGCCTATGATTATAGTTAGAGTGGAATCTTTTTACATTATTTGTGAGGGTGGGAAAGATGAAGCTGTTCTATGCTTGGATTGCACAACCAAGGTTTGCATAAATTGTACAAGCCAAGGGAGACCTCCCCATATAAGAATAGTTATGCCCTCTCCCCTGAAAACACATCAGGTGTTATTTGCTGCAATATTTTTAAAAATGGGCAATCAGAAAAAAAATGATTCATGAACTTATTTTTCTTATCTCATTAAATCTTCAATCTGCTTTGTGTGAGTATTTTCTGCTTCTTTGGGAAAATGAGAATGCTAACAGGCAATTTTCCTAACATTTGTTTTGCTTTCTTTCATTGTATTATGTTCTTCCACCAGTGTATGCATTATGGCTTTTTAGCCAGATTAAATATGACGCTTGCCCTATCCTCCCCAGTCACAAAATTTGAAATCTTAATATTTTAGAAGTAGAAATTAGATTACATCATTGTGTTCTATGACTAGGACTATTCCTCAAGAACTCCAAGTGCTGATATGAAGTGGATATGTGTGGAATGTCATAGCAACTTTTTCAAAACACAAAAAGTTAATTCTGACCATAACAGCTGAGCTAAAGCATTTTCAGACTGCTATTCACAATATTATGCCTGTGCATGTTTGTAAATCCACTGAGTTTACTGAGATTTATACAGTACAGCTTATACAGTAAATTTGCATAGAGTTGCAAAATGATATGCAATTACAGATATGTGGGAGAAAATCGTATAGAATTTATTAATATTTACTACTGAATACCTCCAACTTATAAATCCTTTGACTATTCCTCATGACCCACAAAACTTTATATATATATATATAAATCTCTGTCTTTCTGTGTGTATATACACAAACAGATAGCAATAGCATTTAGACTTATATATCACCCCATAGTGCTTTACATCACTCTCTGTGCAGTTTACAATGTCAGCATTATTTGCATATTGCCCCCAACAATTTGAATCCTACTTTTACCGACCTCGGAAGGATGAATAGCTGAGTCAATCTTGAGCCCCATCAGGATCAAACTCCAGGCTATGGGCAGAGTTTGTCAGCAATACTGCACTTTAACCACTGTGCCACCAGGGCTCTCTCTATAGATACATAAATTATCTGGACAGTATACATTTAAAAACATATAAATATAATATTTCAGTAAAAGGAAGCAGTTAAAACAAGGATAGAATAATCAAAGTTAAAAATTTTGGGGGGAAGGCCTTCAAGACACTCACCAACCCCATGCTTCAGCAATCACACAGAGAAGTCTTAAGCAGAATACGTTACTCTCAGCTTGCCCTTGTCCTGGCAGCATAACAACCTGCCATCAGATTTTCTTTTCTGCCCTGCACTTTCCCATCCGGGTAACATCTACATTCCTTCTGGATACTGTACTATATGGAGTTGCCAGCACAAGCCCTCCCCTGTGTTCACCCCATGGCCATTTTTAGAAAGTTTGCATCTAATGATAGGAACAAGCCCACATAAGTCCTGATCCCCAGTGTGTTTTGTGTCAGGCATTACGTGGGTTCTGTTCTAGATGACGTGAAGCACTGGTTTTGTGGTTCCTCTCCAAGTGAAACCAGTGTACCCAGAGTCATCTTATAGGGAGATTGGGAGGTGGGTATAAATTTCATATATACATATATACCAATAAGGTGACCAACTTTTTTACAATGAAAAGGAGGACACAAATAAATTGAAGAAAAAAATATCGTAAATAAAAGAAACATTTTATTCATTGCAACAATAATACAGACAACTTGCATGTGCAAAATTTGCCAGCCGGGTGTTTTGGCGCGCTCAGCAGCAATTCCTATTGGCTTTCGAAAGCCAATAGTGGGAGTAGCACAGCTCATGCAAAAGTTGAAAAAAAAACCATCAAAAAAAGGTGCCGGAACGCCGTTCTGAGCGTTCTCTGAGGGAAAAAAAGCCCTGCAGATTAGTCTTCAAATATCGAAAAGGAGGACATGTAGGAGGACGCTTTTCGAGGGAGGACAGAACTTACAAAAGGAGGACTGTCCTCCCTAAAGGAGGACGGTTGGTCACCTTAATACCAACAAAGCAAATGATAGTTCTGGATTTTTTTCTCTTTCTCACTGATTGAGCTATAGAAGACTGGATTTTCTTCTATTTTTTTAAACTACATGAAATTGACAGGTTCTCTGATGGTTTTTCTTTTTAGCCCAGTGGTGTTAAAAAAAAGATGGAAAACTGATCCACCAGAGAATATGGTGAGCATGTGGAAAACTCTTATTAAAAAGTTTCATTGAAAGCATATGTCCTCAAAGACTCACTATGGAAAGGAAAGTGAGAGATGCTTGTTTTCCAAACCTGGATGGGAAGAATAAAGATAGGATATCCACCAATTGGGTGCTGTGATATCCTGCATCTAGACAGAACACCTCATGAACATTACCAAACTGAACAATGGACTGACACCGAGACAGAAATTTCTTTTTTATAGTAATTTTATTAAAGATTATTTTTACAACCATAAAATTACTACATACTAAAAAAGATAGAAGAATAAAAAAGTAAAATAAAAGATTAGTCGTATAAATGCATCAACAATATATACATCTTGTTTACACTGCTTTCTGTATCACTTCTGAGGATATATAACCCATAATATTCAGCTTTCTTTCACATGCTTTTGACCAGGGACCCAATGATCCCTGTAATTGTGCATGCTAATAAAAGCTATTTCACTGCATCTATCTCTGTACACTTTGGCCCTTATTTAAATGGCATTTTCTCTTTTCCTGGATTTTTTTTTTATATTGTCAAACAAATGCTGATTTTTCCATGTTTTGTTCAGGAGGTAATGAGGGGTGATGGATTGTGCACTGATTCCATTAGTATGTAGTTTGAGTCTTGCATTAAATTGATAATAGATAGCTTGATGGGTTTTTTTTCTTTATCCTTTTCTCATGTCTTGATTGGCACTTTTTCTTG